CAATAGGAAAGGATAGTTTTTCTACAAATGGTACTGTGCCAATTGGATATAAACATAAAAATAGATCAATTTATATTTGTTTCATACCATATCAAAAAAATTAACTCAAAGAGGTCATAGGTCTAAACGTAAGAGCTAAAACTACAAAACCCTTAGAAGAAAACATAAAAGAAAATCTTTGTGACTGTGGGTTAGGCAAAGATATTTTAGATATGATACCAAAAGCCCTATCAATAAAAGAAAAACTTAGATTTCATCCAAGTTTAAATTTTTCGCACTTCAAAGACAATGTTAAGAAAATGAAAAGACAAATCAGAGGCTGAGAGAGAATATTTGCAAACATATCCCTGACAAAAAGACTTTTATCCAAAATATATAAAGAATTCTTACGACTTAATATTAAGATAATTAGCCCAACTAAAATGGGTAACAAATTTAAGTAGACATTTCTCCAAAGGAGATATGCAATGGCCAATAAGCACATAAAAAAAGTTCAACGTCATTGTCATTAGGGAAGTGCAAAATAAAAGCACAGGGAGATGCATTTACATTTACAGTGGACTCCACTCAACAGCAGCAGAATGCAGAATTTTCTCTAGAGCATAGAGAACATTCACCGGGAAAAAAAAGAACATTCTGGACTACAAAATAGGTTGATTACCCTGCTTCCTCCCCTCCTCCGCTGAACGCTGTTATCCGCATAACAGCCAGGTGACCCTTTTAAAGCCGTAATCTGAATCATGCCCCCCTCCTGGTCTAAACCCTCCAGTGGCTTCCCGCTCCCTTGGCATGAAGCCGAAGCCCTCCGCGCGGCCTGCAGGTTGCGCAGGGTCTGGCCCATGACCCTTGGTCTTCTCCCTGACGTCCCCCTCTCACTGTGCTGCGTGCCGCATGCTCCTACCCTGGGCCCTTCGCCCTTGCCATCCCCTGTCCCTGGGACACACTTTCTTCAGATCCTCAGATCATTTCTTGCCTCACTCTCTCATTTTGTTGAGATATTTTCTCAAATATATTTTAGGGGAGGCATTCCCTAAAGTAGCACCCTGTATGGGTGAGTTATTTGTCTATTGCTGCAGAACAAATTACCCCAAAACTAAATGCATAAAACAACAATAAACATTATCTCTCACATTTTCTAGGAGCCAGGAATTCTGGAGCAGCTTGACAGGGTGGTCCAGGCTCAGGGTCTCTCATAAGGTTCCAGCCAAGATGTCCCCCAGGGCTGTGGTCATCTGAAGGCTCAGCTGGGGCTGGAGGACCTCTGGAGCTTCCAGGGGCTTTGCTCCATAGCTGGCAAGTTGGTGCTGGCCATAGGCCTGAAGTTCCTCTCCACACTAGCCTCTCCCAGGGCTACCTGAGTGTCCTCATGTCATGGTAGCTGGTCAGCATCCCCCCCCCTGAGCAGGTGACCTGAAGGGACAGGGCCAGATTGAAGGTGGTACTTCTAGACCTCACCTCAGAATTCACACATCATTGCTTCTGCCACGTTCCATTCATTAGGACAGAGTCACTAAGTCCAGTCCACATTCAAGTGGAGAGGAACTGGGCTCCGCCTTTTGAAGAGGGTGGTTTTGGTGAGTTGAAGAAATCGCAGGCGTATGTTAAAACCACTGCCCATTTCCATCACTGTCTGGCCCTTATTCTGCTTTATGTTTCTCTAGAGTATGTCACTCTGCATGAAATGGGTTAAGGTACTTGTTTGTTTGCCACATGTTTGAGTTGGCACCACGAAGTCAGGGAGTGTCCCGTTTTCCCTGCTGCACCCCAGCACTTAGCACAGTGTCTGGCACATGGTAGGAGCTCAGTAAATGTTTGCCAAGTGAATTAAATGTGAATGCGCAGTCTCACCCACAGTAGGACTGGCGAGGACTTCATGATGTTGGGAAGATGGCCTTCCAGGAAAGGTGGAATTTGGAACATCAGGAGACAGGGACAGAGAGAGGAGGGACTTGTGGAGTGCATTAGTCTATTTTTGTTGCTTATAACAAAATACCTGAGACTGAGTGAGTTATAAACAAAAATGAAATTTATTGCTTACAGTTCCTGAGGCTGGGAAGTCCAGAGTCCATCTGATGGTGGTGACGGTGACCCAGGGGTCTCACATTGCAGATGGTGGAAGCAGAGAGAGCACAGAGAGCAGAGACATGACAGACTGTCCTCTTCTTTTAAAGCCCTCAGAACCACGCCCCTCACCACCATTTTTAATCCATTCACTACTGCAGGGTCCTACAGTCCAATCGCCTCTTCAAAGCTCCACCTTTCAATTACCATAATAGGATTTCCCACCCTCTTAACAGTCACAGTGGGGGCTAAGTTTCTAATACATAAAACTTGGGGGACACAATTCAAGCTTCAGGGAGTTTGGGGGGACATAATTCAATCCAGTACATGAAGGCAGACAGTAGCACAATGTGGACAAAGGTGTGAGGGTGGGTTTCTGTCCCAGTTTCTGACTCGGCCAAAATCCTAAGGAAGAACCCTAATTGGGCTGCTTGGGTCATGACAACCCCTTGGCCAATCGACTGAGGCCAAGGAGGGGCTCTACCTATGATTGGCAGCCCTCACCAGAGCCACAAGGCTGAAGTGGAGGAGCAGCTCCCTGTAGACGGGGCTGCAGTTGCCAGAGCAGTGACGGGTGTGGAGCAGAATTAACAGGCGCCAGGCAGCCCCTCCCCACGGGTCCCAGCGAGGGCAGCCTGTCCTCCAGTGGCCTGGGATGAACGGGTCCTCCCTCCCCACGGGGCCTGACTGCTGACCAGGTCCCACCCCAGCGGCAGCACTGGGGGGTCAGGAGGTGACTCTCTGGACGTCCCCACAGCCTTTGTCCCCACCAGGACTCAGAGGGGTTCAAGTCCAGGCTGGCTCATCTGTCATAGCATGACAAAGGTCAAGTCCTCTGTGGCTGCACCTCACACCCCTAATCCCCCCGACAGGGGTGACAGAAGACGCCCACAGGAAAAATGAAGAGCAGGTACTGGGACAGACACGCTCAGCCTCCACCCCATCCCCCATCCTTGGGGACCTGTCGAAGGCCTGGAACAAAAGCTTGAAGACCCACAGCCTGGCGCAGGCAGCGCTACGCTGGCAAACTGGCTCTCTGGAGGAAGAGGGGGGGAAAAGCCTCGACTTGCAGGGATTAATGATTCCGTGGTGTAAGTAATTCCACCATGGCCAATTTCAAGCTCCCAGCCGTGCAACAACTGGCTCACAAACTTTGGGATATTTAGCAGTTGGCTCGCCAGGACCAGCAGGAGCCACCTCCAGCACCCCACGGGGGGGGACAGGTGGAGCCAGAGCCTCTGGCTGTGGCCCTCCACTGGGTCCCTTTCTCCCTGCACTGCCCTGGAGCTGTCTGGGCCCAGGGCCGACCACACGCAGCCTCCAGGCTCTGACCTACCAGAGGCCTCGGGAGTCTGGAGATGGGCCACAAGCCCCTGGAGATGGGGCTGGCTCTGCGCCCCTGAGCACCCCCACATGCCCTCCTGACAGCAGACAGGAGGACTAAGGGTCGCGAGGCTGGTCCCTACCAATGTGTTCGTCGACCCCGAGCATGTCAGCACCCAAGCGATTCCCCTGAGAGAGAAGAGGCCACGAGAGGGAGCTTGGCAAACAGCACAGCCCCTGCCCCTCCTCTGGGCTCCAGGGGTTCCCCCACTGTCTGCGTTTGGCTGGTGGCGAGAATGGCAGCGGGGAGTGTGATCCTGACGGGGGCATGGCTCCCCCACTGCGCTGCTCAGGACAGCGCTTAGGTGTGGGGGCGACCCTGCTTTGTCCCCACTGGGGGCTTCTGCTGTTGGGTCTGCAGATTCCTCAGTTGCCATTGGAAATGGTGATGTCACCAGCAGGGGCGGAGCTTCCGCCGTTTTTTGAGTTAGGGAGGTGAAGTACAACCCAGGGATAGAGGGGGACAAATAATTTGGGTCATAAGGACCCAGGGGACAAGGAAGACTCTGGAAATGGACAGGAGGGAGGGGGCCCGGGAGCACGTTAGAAGAGGGACTGAGAGGGCAGAAGAGGGGACATGAGCGCCTAGCCCCGACGCACTCGCTGGCCGTGGCCCAGCTAGTTGGGGTCCAGGCTCCCAGGCTGTCCTGGAAGATCCAGCTCCACGCATGCGGCAGCCGCTGTCACCCTTTCTGTTCTTAACTCTCGGGGGAGACCCAGTCACATGGCCAAGCAAGCGGGGTCTCTCCCACGTTCTTGAGCCTTGTGGGGTGGAGGGAGAACCGGTCTCCCTGCCCCGGGGGTGAGGCTTTGGGCCTCTCCACACCTCTGGGTGTCCAAGGTCTCACCGGCTGCGGGCGAGGGCTCGTGCACGCGCGCGCGCACACACAAGCAGTCGGGACACACACGCGGCCGCGCTGGCAGAGGCCCAAGGGTGCAGGCTGCACGCGGTGACACGGCTGCCTCTGCCCGTCAGACGCAGCTCCCCGCCGGTCCCGGCAGCGCGGG